GCTTGCGGCAAGTCTCGCCACCGTGCCTGGGTTGTGGGTCGGAGTCTTCAGGGATGCTCCATGAGGTCTGTTCGGGGCGCTTTCGGGGGCCTCTGGAGGGCAGTTGTGGGCCCTCTTGGGGGTATCTTGGGGGCTTCCTGGGGACCTGTTGGGGCCTCGTGGGAGCTTGTTTGGGGTTTCTTGAGCGCCCCTCGGGGCTTTCTGGGGGGGCTTCTCGGGCCGAGGGCTCGACATGTCTCTTCGGGTCCCCCGTTTGGGCCCCCTCTTGGAGCCGTCCAGGGGGCCTCTTGGAGGCCATTTGAACCGTGTTGGGGCCCTATTGGGCCGTTTGGGGGCTCTTTTGGAGGCCTGCTGGGCCGTTTGGGGCGATCTTGAGGGTTGTTTGGGCCGCTCGGGGCGTCGGGAAGCCGAATACGCGAGAACGCCCACATTCTTCAAACAACATGATGAGTCCCCCATTGTCCTTCCTACCCCGCTGATCCTGTGAACCCGTAGTTTTTCGCTTAGCCGTCTTCCCTTTGTTCTCCGTCCAGCCTTTGTATATTTATGTACCGTTTTACCTTTCTTATCACTGTTGTCTCCCCAGTCCCACACATGACACGTCATATGTGGGTTTCTAACGATAGATCGTTAGTAGTATCACGCGACACGTTGTAGTTGGTACCATGTCATGCGGCATATGTTGTAGCAAATGGTACCGCACGGGTAATACGTATGACACAATTCAGGTGGTAGCATGTCGTGCATCATATGATGTATCACAATTGTCATGGCATCGTAATTGGCGCTATCGAAAACATCATTGGCTTTATCACATGACGCATCATATGCGGTATCGCATGGCACGTCACATGGAGTGCCACGTGATGGTGCATGGGCAAGCGCATATGGTTGGCCGTATGCCGCAGCCTTTGCGACACCATTGCCAGAACCAGATGGTACGTCACAGATGATATCATATGGCACGCCATGTGATATGGGACGAGTGGCATCGTCGTACGGGACATCAGATCCAGTACCACGTCACACGTCACACGTCGTATCGTAAGACACATCATACGTCGTAGCATCCGACTCCCGACTCATCATACGGGTGCCCATATGCTACGCCATAAGTGGTATTGTATGAGGAATGCCAAGTCGTAGCAGATGGTACGTCAAACGCAATGCCCTATGATAGACCATAGGGTGCACCACATAGCACGGCACCACTGCACACGCCGCATACACTGCACACGCAGCATTAACCGCACACGCACACACCGCGCACACACACACGCACACACACACACACACACACATACACACCCGCACACACACGCACACGCACACACACACACACCACGCACCGCAGATGCAGCACATACACACTGTACACATCGCACACACAGCGGACACCGCACACGTCGCACACACCGCACAGACCACACAAGCCGCACACACCGCCTTCCATATCCACATCGCAATGCCCACATCACCGCCAGGCGCTTTTGGGTGTAATTCCAACTGGGGCCGCCATGTTGCATTTCCGCACATACGTGCACGCATCAGCCGACCATTTGGTTTGGTGGAATGTACGAACATTGCGTTGCACTTCAAATCAGATTGTGAGGCTATAGGTGCATTCCAGATCAACAGTACAATCCAGACGAACATCGCGTTGCACTTCAAATCAACAGATGGTTGGAATTACTTCCAGTTTGTCGTTCTCGTTGGTTGGAATTAACTCCCAGTTGGGTGGGGTTGCGCCCAGTCGGTTGAGATTTCCAACGCATGCCCCCCCCCCCGCGCACATCCCATCCACAGACGCCGTCGTCGTCCCCCCCACCCCCCCACGTTCTACCCGCAAACGGCGCCGTCGTCGGAGCGCGCGGTTGCTTGCGGGGTGTTCCCACCTCAGCACCCCGCGCGATGCGCGCGCATCCCCGCGTTGCACATGCATGGTATTGACTTGTGTATTGGTACGGTGCGTTGTTTTGTGCCAGGCGTTTTGTTCGCTGTTCTTGTTTCAATGGTTTGTTTTGTTTGTGTATATTTTGAGGTTCCAGCTCATAATTACCTTTTTTATATCACAGCCTCTCCGCCAGTTATTTTTTGATCGTCTGGTCGCATTCGCCTTGGGAACAATAAGAGGAGTTGGAGGAGAAGAAGGCTTGGACCGTGATTGCGAGGGAGGAGCGGTTGCGGGTGGATGACCAGGACGAGTGAAACCATTCTGAATATTCGATGAAGCATAGACGAGTAGCACAATGGTTGAGATGCTTGTGGTTGCGAGGAGGGGGAAACAGTTGGAGAGTAGGAGGATGAGGAGCAGCGGCCGGCGGAGGCCCAGGCGGTGGAACGGATTGAGCGGGATTGAGCGGGCCAGAACGGGTCACGACTCCTTACGGTTTCGTGCCGTGGGAGGTCGGGGCGCTTCCGGCCGTCCCCGAGCCGAGCCAGACCTTTAGGAAGCCCCGATAGGGGCTGGAAATTTCTCGCACGAGCTGGTCTCTGCACTGTAGCTGAGGGTGGCCCGTCCGAGCCCAGGGAAACAGATCCTGCTGCCACTGCCGATATTGCGTTCCAGCTTCGCCTCCCGCTTCTCACAGGAGGCTTGCCACTGTGCCCCCGATGAATTGGGAGCCTGCCTTGCACGGCTGCTCCCCTGCCATTCCCCGCACGAGCTGATCCCAGCGTTGTAGTTGGTGAAATGCCCGTCCGACCGCTGCGGCAACAGAATATGCTGCCACGGCCTGGGTTTGCGCACGCCCCGATCCCCGCACTGGTTCGCAAGAGTCGGGACTCGGGCTCCAGCGCCTCCTCCCACTTCTCGCAGTGCTTCGGAGCATAACGATACAGAGGAGGAGGAGGAGGAGGAGGAGGAGGAGGAGGAGGAGGAGGAGGAGGAGGACCAACCATCCCCTCCCAAGTCGCCTCCCCATGGGCTCCTACACGTGTTCCTCTGCACTGAAGAAGCATGCACCATGGAAGACCAGCACAGTTGGGCCTGTCCTTTTTGGCAAGGGTTCCGCTTTCACTTGAAGTTGTTTGTTTCATTGTTCCGGCGCATAAGTTGCAACGTGAACCCATGTCCGTACAATTCAACTGTGTGTTCAGCGATATTCTTCTCTTCGAAAAAAGGACAGCCCCCGACCCGTGTAAATGTGGCACAAGTTTACATTTGCGGCCGACCCGCTCCTTATCCGTCCATCCCTACATTAGTGGGAGCTTCGGGCCTTTGTTAGTGACGAAGTCTCCAGCGATAACCTCCATCCTTGTCCAGCCCTCCATCTTTGTAAACGTGCCATTCAAACACTGATGCGCACGGCACTGACGCGAAAGCGCAATTTCAAAAATGTCCAGAGTTCGATCCTTGAATCTGGTGCCAGAGCGTTGAGACGAAGGCGCGCGGCGCTAAGAGGATAACCCCACTTTGAAAGGGCATCGCCCTCCATCTGCGAAGACATGGAAAGATAATGTGCGCGGTGCAATTGCGAGAGCGACACTTTGGAAACGCTCTCCCCCCTCCAGCCCTAAAAATGTTGCGATCTTGTGAGACGAATGTGTGCTGCGCTAAGGCGAGGGAGACGAAAGGACGCACGCTAGGGCGACGCTAGGGCGAGAAGAGCCGCATCTTCAAAACAACAACGCCCTTCCATCCCATGAACTTGTTTGCAATCATCATCGAGTGTGCGCGTCACTAAGGCCAGAACTGAATGTTGAAAAGGATCCGCCCTCCATCCTCGAAATTGATGGTCCTGTTTATGAGGTGACTTCACGGCGCTATTGCGGCCGCCACTTTTTGAAAAGGCCCCCCCAGCAATATAACGGTTGTCAGCGGCGGTTCGGGGACAACGTTTTTTTGACCCCCATGTCCCCCATTGGAGAAGTTGTTGCAAGGTTCAAGGTTCGGGGTCATGAGCGGTAAGGAAGTCCGAGGCGAAACGCACGGCCCGCCTTGCTGTCACGTTGGGGTAAGACAGGAAGAATGTGTTGTCAGAGTTTGACCAACATGTTATTTGACGGTTTCGTTGACCGTTTTCATTTTGTGTTCGTGTTGCAGCAGGGGCAGAACTAACACAGAATGAGGAACAACGACAGCAAAACGATAACGGGAGCATTACTTATATCGAGCCCCGCCATGTGTTAGGTAACGCGACGGGGGATAAGGAGGAATTTGAGCTGGAGCAGCATAGGGTTGATGAGGGGCCAGAGCGGGGGAGGACGCGCTCCGTCCGCCAGGGAGGGCGGCTAGCGCCGATCCAAGATATCCGTGCGGACCTCAGAAAAAGGATATTGATACAGTTTTTGGTTCCTCGAGCTGGAGGAGGAGAAGAGGAGGATGTGATAATCATGAGGATCAGGATAGTGAGGGATGAGTAGTATGTACGTAGTAGTTGGAGGATGCATCAGAGGAGGATGGCAAAACATAATATGTTGTCGACGACAGCGACGACGAACGATGATGACGAGAGCACTGGGTGAGAATCGACGAGGACGTCGACGACGTCGACGACGACAGTCACAACGGTCACGGGGTCGTTTGCGAAACGCCGACGATGCTAACGAGGATGACCTTGAGGACGACGAGGACGACGATTCTACGACGATGACGTCGATCATGACGACGAGGGCGCATGAGGAACACGAAGGCATCGGCCCCGACAGTAACGACGACGGGGACTGCGGCTCCCACGACGACGGAGAGGCCCCGCACATGTGACGTCATTTTCACGACGCGGGCCTCGAGGAAGCTCTCGAGCCCCTCTCCCAGGACTGGCCCGATCACTCTCAGACGTCCCCCGAGGCCCGCTCTGAGCTCCCCCGAGGCTGGGCGTGGCAGACATTGGCCTCGGACATGGGAGCCGCGGCGAATCAGGCCTCCATGGCCGACACTGGCGCCCAGTCGGCTGTGACGGAGGCGACGATGGCCACGTCGGCGACACCGATGATGGCGGCGACGTCGACGACGGCGGTAACGACGGCGGCGGCGACGACTGGCGGCGCCCGGCGGCCAGGGGCCCCCGGTGCCCCTGCCGCTGGACGAGCCGACGGTGACGATCACGACCACCACGTCGTCCAAGGCGCAGTGCGGCACGGGGCTGGGCAGGTGTGGCCGGGTCGCGTCGTGCCGCCCATTTTGGGGGGCGCTCCGAAGGAGTTCTTCTTCAGTTTTTTTGACGTGTTCGCACGGTCCAGGCTATCTTTCCTGCCTCGAGAGCGGTCCTGGGGTTCGCCTCGCCTCGCCTGCGCCTCGTCGAGAGCGTGCCACCCGAACGGCCGCTGGAGAGCCCAGGTCTGACCGGGAGTCCTTCGACCATCTGTTGTCATTCTGGGCGTGGTTTTTCGATTTTGCCGGGGGCCATTGCCGGGCCCTCAGAACGGGGGACAGCAATGGATCCGGGACGGAAAACTACCTCTCCGGAAGGGGTCAGGAATTCTGGGGCTGCGCAGTTGGGAAAAAACGCACCGTCGAATATTTAGGCACGGCCGGTTCGTTCCGCGTCGCCTATTCCAGCGGAGCGCCGAAGGGGGGAAGTGAGAGAGGGGAGGCCTTTTCAGAAGGCGGCGGGGGTTCTCAGAATCCCTGTGGTCTTCGAGAAGTTCTCTGTTGCTTCGGTGACTGCCCAGGAAACCTCTCAAACGACCCAAAGCCTTCTGAGCCTTCCGAGAAGGCCCGCCCCTCTGCTTTCCCCCTTGGGCGCGCCGCCGAGTCGCCTCTGCTCAGTACGATCGGAATTAGCACGGGCATGCTGGGGACGAAGACCGACGGCAGTTCCTCTTCATTTGGTGAAGGCCTCGTTGTCGGTGTTGCCGCGGACGTTGCCCATCATAAACAGAAGGTCGCTTGCCCAACAACGGCCGTTGTTGGTTCTGGATTCTAGACAACGTTTCCTGTTTGGCCTCGCGCCTGCTTACTCGCACCCACTTCGGGGGCAGGGTCTTGTGTGTTCCGTCCAATCCGATTCTATGCCGAGTTCACCCGGTTCGCTCCGATTCGATTCCGATGTTCGATTTCTTGGCGATTTGGTGTTGCCCGATGCTAGCGCAGCGTCGTCGCGTATCTATGCGCAGCCGATGCAGCCCGATTTAGTGATCGTTCCCATCCGATCCGAGTTCGCATTGTCATGACGGGTGAACCAGGGTACGGCGGGTTCGTGTTATGCCACATTGTCGACAAACATTTTGTTCCCGAGACTTGCAGAGCTGGTGACTTTCCGGCGACTGCTCAGGAGAAGCAATGCGAGCGGTGTCGCCCTCGGGACATGAGCAGGTACAAGGGCAGGACCACAAAGAAGACGAACTCGGTGGTGGCAAGATGGGTGGATAGCCCAGGGACGGGCATCACATGCATGCGGCGGCGAGCCTCTTTGACGACTTGGGCGATCGGAGCGCCTTCATACAGTCAACCCGCATAGTAAGGATGGGCAACCTTTCCAAGGCTACCCTTGCATCCTTGTCCCTTCGGCCCATCCTTCCTAACTTTCGCTGGCCAACCTCGTTCGAATAACACGGCCCTCCAAGGCCCTCGCATCCTCACCGCGCATCCTTGCTGTACGGGTTGACTGCACTTGAAGTCACTGTTTCCCCCTAAAGTCTCCCTGCTGCAGCCGCCGAGATGCGGCAGGCCCGCGCCGTGCCGACGCGTCGACGACCCCGGCACGGGCGCTCAAAAGGCGGAGCGCCGCTGGCTCCGCAGCAGTCTCGGCCCGAACCTTGCTTCGGGGGCGAGCCAGGGGGGGGGGAGAAGAATCAAGCAGTGGTGAGGTGTCCTGGCCTGCCTAGAGGCCCTACCAAACAATGTTCTAAGAGTCTTGTGTGGTCTCCACGAGATGTTCTTAGAACATGTCTGGCCGGGCGTGTCTTCTTTTTACACATCGGGCCTATGTTCTAAGAACATTGTTTTGGTTCTTAGAACATTTGTGGGTTCTAAGAACGTGTCGTTAAGACCATGTCGTGGTATGCCTACAGGAATGCCGGGACGGTCGGTCCCTGCTCAAAAGGAGGAGGCCTTCTCAGAAGCCCTCGGGCCTTCTGAAAAAGTTGCGTTGTGTGTTTCGAGGAGGGCTTGGACAACGTTTCAGAAGACCGGGGACTTCCGAGCCTTCTGAGGAAGCCCCGCCCCGTGTGACTTCCCCCCGGGCTCGCCACCGACTGCTGGCTCACGCTCCGCTCGTCCGCGCGCCCCCGATCCCGCGGAAAAGATGGCGCGCTCCGCCCTCGCCACGGCCTGCGTGCTCGCGGTCTGTGCCTGCGCCGCCTACCAGGGTGCCCGCGCTTTCGTGCCCGCCCCGCGGAACCCCGCCCTGCGCGGCGACGCACTGGCGGCTGCCGGCGCGCTCGCCGCTGCCACCCCCGAGGCGGCCCACGCGTTCACGTACAATGGCAAGGAGTACTTCGACGTCTTCTACGGCATCAGCCCGCTGTACTGGGCACTGTGCGCGTTTGCCATCGTCTTCTACGGCGCCGTGCTGAAGAACGCCGCGCTCAAGTACAACACGCCCTACGGCACCACCACCAACCCGGACGCCAAGCCGATCGTGACCGGCAAGTTCGTGGGCATGGAGGTGGAGACCAATCAGGAGCAGTACAACTATGGGGCCAAGGAGTACATCAGCAAGTAGACGGCTCCCGCCGGGCGCGCGGCCAGGTGCATCTTTTTCTGCGGTTTTCTGACTTGACGTTCAAGTCATCCGCACTCTAGAGCGAAGAATTGTGGCAGGCTTTCAGCCAGCGCCTGTCTTGCTAGGTGGGCTTCAGACAATCAGCGATTTAGACCATTTGCCTCTCGTGGTACAAACACACACGCGCACACATACATGGGGGAAACGATAGGGGGGGATAGGCATAGGCGGGGATGCATCGACCCCCAATCGCACATTGATCGCCGATAGGGGCCCGATAGCCCCAACCTGCCCAGGAAGCTGCGTCATTATCAGAGGCCTATCGCCGATCTATCGGCGATGTATCGCCGATTCCAGGTCGATGCATCCCCCCCTTATACCAGTCCCCCCCCCCCTATCGTTGCCCCTCAGTGCAAAGACCAAAAGAAACGCCGCCAGTGACCCCGAGTCGGCCGACATCGAGCGATCCGCTCTGCCGGAGAGCCACGCACGCTGCAGGTTGGCCCGCGCTGGGCACGCGCTCCCAAAGGCAGCCATCCACGCGCAGCCAGAGACCAACACGCAGGTCGTCGCGTCATGGATGTGCCCCACCTCGATGGATGATCGGCCATCGAGGATGTAGACTGGGGGATGTGTTTGGCCCCAGCAGGGGTTCTGGCAGCCACAGGAGGCCTCCAGAGACCCTCAGAGCACGGGGCTGTGCAGCCAGATCTCCTCGCGCTGCGAGAAAATAACACGATGGAGGGTCTGTTGCTCATTGTCGGCCTCTGGCAGCCCTTGCCGAGCCCGGATCCAGAGCCAAGCGCCTCGGAATGATGGAACATTGGCCCCAGAGAAGGGTCCTGATTCGGGGGCCCCGAAATTGTGCGGTGACCACACCGTGCGGTGAGTCGGTGGGGATTCGGGGTCACCGCACGGTTTTGGGACTCGGGTCGTTCTCCGAGGACGTCTCGGGCGACAAGGACCTCCGAGGTCCCAAGACCGTGCGGTGACGGACCGTGCGGTGAGGTCTTGGGGGATTTCGAGGCCACCGCACGGTCTGTCACCGCACCCTGTCGGGGCTCCCCACCGAAGGTCCCGCGCTGTAAAGCAGCGGCGACGACGGAGGTCTGGGCCCGAAGGCCCGAGGGAGGAGGAGGAGGAAGAGGAGGAGGAGGGGGAGGAGGAGGAGGAGGAGGAGGAGGAGGAGGAGGAGGAGGAGGAACTGGATGAGTGCCAGCGTTCTGCACACGGACTCCATGTGGAACGCACTCGAGTCGAAGCCGTGAAGCCCAGGGTAAAGGGGCAGGCAGCGACCCGGGCGCACGCCGACCGGGCTTTCCGTCGAAGAGGATGCGCTGCGCAAGCATAGATGCTCGGAGGTCTGCGAGGATCTCTTGGATCGCCGCTTGGCCTCCATATCCCTGGCGCGCGGAGCGCGCCGGGAGCGTCGCCAGAGGCGCCATCGGGGGAGTCAAGTACCGCTGCAAGACATCCGTGCGGACCTCCGAATGTTCATGTGTACGCACTTTTGTTCTCTTCACTGCGGCAAACCTCGCCAACGTGCTTTGCAACAGAGAACTTCTTGGATGTATCTCGGAGTCTCTTAGGATCTCTCTCTGGGTTCCTTGGAGGCCTCTTGGGGCGTCTTGGTGGCCTCCTGGCTGGTCTTGGGGGCCTTTCGGGCGCATTGGAGGAGGTCTCTTGGGGCGTCTTTGGGGAGTCTTGGCGGTCTTCAGATCCTCTTGGGGCGTCTCGGGTGCCTCTTCGAGGCCTGTTGGGGCCTCGTGGAAGTCCCTAGGGGGCATCTTGGAGGCATCCTGGGGCCTCTCTGGCGACCCTCGGGGGGGCCTGTTTCGACCCACCTGGGGGCCTGCTTCGATCCCCCTCGGGGGGCCTCGTTCTCGGCCCCCCGCAGTTCTCCAAAGCAGTGCTCGCACTCAGGGGGGTCCTACTCAGCTTCCCTGCGCAGCTGCTTCGGGCGGTCCATGTTTTGGCCACGCGGCCGCTCGTGGGCGCCCCGTGGGCGCCCCGTGCGCCGGGAGGCTGTGCCGAGGTTGCGCCACGCCGCCGCCCCGTGGGCGCCTCGTGGGCGCCTCCTGGGCGCCCCGTGCGCGTGGGGGAGGGGGCTGCCGGGGGTGGACGGGACCCCGGGACTCGTTTACGGTAGGTTTGCGTCGTGTCGACCAGCGGCGACCCCAGCGCGGGCGTTCAAGGTCGAACGCCGCCGGCGACCCAGATTCGATCGATGTTGAACGATCGGACGTTGCGGCAGCGGCGCTTGGGGGAGGGGGTTGCCGGGGGTGGACAGGACCCCCGGTCTCGTTTCGCCCATCCCCATTCGGGAGCCTTGAGACGGGGGTCAATACAGACGGGGGTCAGCCAGGGCGCCAGATCCTGCAGGATCCTGCGAAGACCCCCTCTGGCTGACCCGGGTTAGGGAGCCGCTCGTGGCCGCGAGGCGGCCGCGCGTATTGGCTGACCCGGGTCTGCGAAGACCTGCGGTGCAGTTTTTTTTCTTGCATTGCAGTTTTTGGTTTCTTGCTGACCCGGGTCTGGATTGACCCGGGTCAGAAGATCCCCGACCCATCCCCATCCCCATGCGAGGCCCCCACCAAATCACCACCCCAGTTGGGGGTAGACCCCTCGAAACCCGAGGGGAACGACCTATATCCCCATCTAGGGGGGGTAAATCGGCCAGTGGGGCCCAGGCACACCCCCGATTAGTGAATTGTCCGTTTCCGGTTCTCGAGAGAGCGCCGCGGCCGTCATTTTCCAGGTCTTTCGCCCGCCAGGTCTCCCAAATGGGGCTGGAGTACATGGGGTCGGAGGATCGCACCGCATCGCCGATACATCAGCGAGTCGGCTCGATGAGGAGACCTTGAGACTTCTGTTTCCTCGATTGTGCCATGTGGGCCAAGTTGGCCGAAAATTGGTTTTGAATTGGTTTTGAATTGGTTCAGCTTTCACAGAAAAAATCGACCCACATTTTCTGGTAGAGAATTGTGCAATGCAAAAACCAAAGCAGCCTCGAGGGTCCCAGAAGCGTATGACACTAACATTATCCAACAACGTGATGTGAACAGAAGAACAAGCAATAACAACAAGCATTTGCAATGCACAACGCCAGTGGTCAAACCTATGTGGGATATCAGCATAAACAGTAACACTAGGCATGCGCAGCAGGGATACATAACATAAGCAGTAAACATATATAATCTAAACAGTACCTGTGGTATATCAACATAAACAGTAACAGTAACAGTAAACATAAACAGCAACACGAACAGTAACATAAAGCTATAGGGATAACAGCCGAGATCGACAGGTATCGTGCACGGCTGGCCCCTGGAGCGCCCCTGGACCCCATGCCACTGTTTCGAGCCATTTTGGCCTGCAGCATTTCCTTCCCCATCCAATTCTCCACCGATGGATTTTCTTTCTGCCTGGGCGGGGGAGGCAATCGATGTCGAGGATGACCCGCCTCCCCCGCCGAATGCCAGACAGATTCTGAGAAGACTGTTCGTCAGTGCGTTGAAAAATGAACTTGTTCCGACATTGCCTGTGTTGAGGGCGCCTGAGCCGATCATGAATTGTCCAACGCCAGAGGTGGATGATGATATGCACGTTGTTGCCCCTGCAATCGGGGACCTGCCAGCTGCTGATATTGTGCCAGCTGCTGATATTGTGCCAGCTGCTGATATTGTACCAGAAATTGCGCCCCCCTTCACCTGATATAGAGCCCGGCCGTGATGATGATGTGGCGGCTCAGGCTGTCGCCATTATTCCCGACAGAGTGTGTGACGTTGGCCAGCTGTGGGATAATGTGATAAGGTGTTTCCCGATCATTGTTAATATTGTCCTGCAGTTCGGGGAAGCAGCGCGGACGTCCAGTGCTGCGTCCCGTGTATATGATCACCTCGTCGCTCGTGATAATGTTCTGTTGACCACAAAGACGCTCACAGAAAATGCACGACAATGTAACACAACCATCAACATGATGGGTACTCGGGCTCAGTTGACTGCGTGTCTCTCGTGGCTCGCACGCGTGTATGCGTTCAGACATTCCCTTGCTAAGCTCATTCGTGATGTCAAAGACGGTGATGGCACGTTGCAGACACTGTATGCATTCCGCCGCTCAGATGAAACGCCTTTGAAAATTACGATATCTTCTTGGCTGCGCCAATCCCGCCGCCGTGCCAGCCCAGATGTCTCGGAGGCCTTTGCGGGAGCAAACGCGGGTGTCCTAGCCTTTGGCAAGTTCCCTCTTAGGGGTTGGTGGTGGTGTTGGCGGTGGTGGCCCCGTTGATGATGATGATGGTGACGTATGATGAGGACCCACCAAAGGAGTTTAACAATGGAGGTTTCGCCTAAACACCCCCCTCGTCATTGATGCCATAACCATTTACAACATGAATGCGGAATGTGCCATATGCGTTGGTTCGAACCCTTGTCAAAATCAAGTTCCCTCCTCCTTCCTCCTCCTCCTCTTCATCCCTCTTCGTCCTGACCACCGCCGTCTTCGGCCCGAACGGCAGGGGCGTCACGCATGACGGTTGCAGCGTTTGCCCCGCGGGGAGTTGCTACCATTACCGCCAGAATGAATTCCATTGTCATCACGACCACCATCGTCATCCGCCGCGCCGTGTTCATCCGATCCGACGCGTCAGAGGTAGCACCTCTGACGCTTCCGAGAAATCAAAGCGAGAAGTGTCGCATGTGATGGGTTGCCTTTCTTCCTTTCCCTTCCCTCCGCCTCCTGGCCATCATCATTGCCGCGTTCCCAACCGAGAACGGCCAAACAAACATGCGTGAGACTTTTTTCGGCGTTCGCCCCGAAACCACCATCGCCATTGCCGCTGTCATCATCCGCGCCGCCATTGCTTGCTCAGCAAAACGCACAAGAACAAGACGTGACGCTTACTTAAACGTCACGATGTGACATCACCACCGCTATCCTCAGTCGTCTTGGGTTCTTCTGTAAAAAGGGGCCGGAGGGCAGCCGATATCGATTTGAACGC